CGGGACACGGAGCGGCACCTGGCACCGCACGAAAACCCCATCGTGTCGCTGAACAAGTGGGGCCAGTACGCGAGCGACGTGCAGCTGATCCTGCGCCGCACCGGGCCCTCTCTGAGCGAGAGGCCGACTTCGGACAGCGTGGCTCGCATCCCAGAGAGGACTCTGTACCGGCAAAGCTTACCTCCCCTCGCCAAGCTGAGGCCTCCCAGCGACAAATCCATGAAGAGGAGGGAGCCGAAAAGGAAATCCCTCACCTTCACCGGAGGGGCCAAGGGGTTAATGGACATCTTTGGGAAAAGCAAGGAATCCGAGTTCAAGCAAAAGGTGCTCAACAACTGTAAAACAACAGCGGATGAGTTGAAGAAATTGATCCACCTCCAGACGGAGAAACTTCAGTGCATCGAGAAACAGCTGGAGTCCAATGAAGCCGAGATCCGCTACTGGGAACAAAAGTATAACTCCAGTCTGGAAGAAGAAATCCTCAAGCTAGAGCAGAAGATCAAAAGGAACGAAGTGGAGATTGAAGAGGAAGAGTTCTGGGAAAACGAGCTGCAGATCGAACAGGAGAATGAAAAGCAGCTGAAGGAGCAGCTGCAGGAGATGAGGCAGAGGATCCTGGAGTGCGAGAGCAAGCTGAAGGACTATGTGTCTCAGATCCACAACATGGAAAGTGGCCTTGAAGCAGAGAAGTTGCAGCGGGAAGTTCAAGAGTCCCAAGTGAATGAAGAAGAGGTCAAGGAAAAGATCGAGAAGGTGAAGGGCGAAATTGATATTCAGGGCCAGCAGAGTCTGAGATTGGAAAATGGCATTAAAGCTGTAGAAAGGTCTTTGGGCCAAGCTACTAAACGGTTACAGGTAAGAATGTCCTTTTTATCCATAGCAAAGAAAAGTCAAAGACCTGATTGTAAGGAGTTTCTCTTACGCAGATTTGAAGCCCATGAAAGAAAACACGAGAAAGTTTCCACAGTGAATTTGGGTAAAAGGAGGAAATTCAAATTGCACTTTAGATTTTTTTTTTTTTTTTGAAGAGCAGACAATTTTCATTTCCCCTCTGTGTATTTTACTCATTCAGACCATCTGAAAAGAAAAACAGTGGTTAGTTCTTTGCCTCAAGATAAACCAGCAGATATTTTGGTGGATGTGTTCCTGGCCATTCAGAAGGCTTGGGTGGCCTGCAGGGTTAATGCCGAGTGCCACACCACCGTTCATTTATTTACATGCTGGCTCAGTTTCTTTTCCATCGGTTACAGTTTTGGTTTGCTACCATTCCCTGACTGCCTGGTGACCTCTGAGAAATCACTGGAAGCATATCTTCACCATGCAATGGTCCATGATAGAGAAACACCAGAGCTAACGTCAGCCAAACTAGCTGAGGGCGGTGTGGCTGCACCCATGGTAATGCATCTAGCCACCTCGCCCTGCTGAGAGGGAGTGCTTGTTAGCTCCCAGTGAGGTGCTGCTGTGCTAGTGGGCCTGGGCTCTTTTACATCTCAGACAAATAATATCTCCTGCATGAAAAATAGCACATTTAGGGCTAGTGGGGGATTGTTGTACTGCTGGGTGCTAAACCAGACCATAGTGCTCTCAGCCTAACATCTTTAAAAGTATTAGTCTTCAAACCCCTGTTGATTTGGGGTTAGATGTCTTGAGGATTTAGATCCTAGATCTTGGCAGCTCAGTGCTTCGTATTGTTAAATTTCAGGGAAATTTGCACCATCGTAGCCCTTTCTGAGGCTAAACTTCTGATTCTTGCTAGGTTTGTCTGCCACCAAAATAGATTAATTAAAAAAACCAGTCCAAAAGCAGCACCTGGATAGATGGATGTAGAGCTGAAACAACTGTTAGCTTACAGGGCTTTTGTTTTAAAGAATAGTATCTCCCTTTTCCTGTCTGGCTTGCTGGTATTCAGGATTTTATTGTCTCTACAGCTCAGGCGTTTGTGGCACGTGTCAAAAGAGAATCTAGTTTCTGGTTCCTTGCTGAAGTTAATGATATCACTTGGAACTCGATAGAGCATGAAAGAATAAATATAAATGGAAATCCAGCTGCTAGCTGGATGAGGTGAAGGAAAGATTGTGGCTCCTGGGATTTTAATGTGCCACGTAAGACAGGACTGAAGCACCACACATCAGTTTGAGTTGCGATTCTTGCTGTATTCCTGGGATTCACGGTTGCTATGTTCCACAGTGCTGCAGTTGCAGTAAGGTGATCGTGCTGTGAATTTGTAAAGGGATTTTGCATCCTTACTCCTGCGCACCTAGAACCATGTCAGTATAAGCTGGTTTTACTAAATGAGGAGGGGAAAAAATGTAATCTTTTCATCCAAAGGAAAATGGATGAAAACTGGAAGCAGGTTTGGCCATATTTATCCATCCTAAGTTTCCAGGCACACCACACTTAAGGATTTGTGCTAACAGAAAGCATCAAGTCCTCTTTATATATTTTACCTATCCTCAGTAACAGTGAGGCTATGATTGAGTTCGAAATCTTTCTCGCTTTGTTTTTTTCCTAGGCTAGGGTTTCACTTTCTCAGGAAAGTTCCCGTTAAATTCAGATCCTCCAAGCTTGTTCTAAACCTAAAGATGGAATCTGGAAAGTCCAGGAGAAAATAAACTCAGCTCTGTATTATACAGTTTTGGGGGGATGAACTAGAGAAAGAGTTTCTTGCATGCTGAAAGTTAAATATTAATATTCATAGAACTGCTGATTTGAAACTAGAAAAGTTGAGCATGGGTGTTTTCATAGACCTTTTCAGTAAGGAAAGAAAGAAAATTTTGGTTCACTAGATTTCAAGTGATAAGAACATAAAGGTGGCATTTTTTAGTAGCGTGTGAGAAATTTCTAGTAATTTGTCCTACCTCTTTCATTCCTTTTCTCTAGCCACCTCAATAAACATTACTTTCCAGCAATATGAGGCTATGTTAGGTTATTAACGATCAGATACAGCACTCTGCTCTCCCTGTTTCTAGAGAAAGATTTTAAATGCAAAAAAACCCCAAACCAAACCAAAAAAACCAAATCCCACCCTTCTTCAGGGCAAAGATCTCACTAAAGTTTCACAATTAGATACTAAATTTAAAAGCTTAAACCAGTAGGATTTGGGGTAATAACATTTTTACCTTATGTCCTGTGAAAGTTGAGAAATGGCAAGAACAAGTTATTTATGATGTTAGTTCTGCTAACCTGCATATTTCAGTGATTCAGGTTTTTTTAAAAAACTAAATTCCCTTCAGTGGCAACTTTGTTACAATCTCACAAAACATGGAGTTGTAGAATTAACATTGTAGTCAGTAAAGCCAGCTGAGAATTTCCTGGGCCCCAAGTGCCCAGTTGTAGACTGTAATAGGCCTAAAATAAATTGAAGAATTTTTCTGTAGAATTGTGTTAAAATTTTGAGGTGCCCTGGTTTCCATTTCTCAGTCCAGTTTCTCTGAAAGCTCATAGCCAATGAATGGAAACCCAAGTCTAGCATGGGAAACTGAGACCAACCCCATGATATGCATTGACTGAACAGGTCAAACACGCACATCAGTGACAAAGCAATTGGCATTTAAAAGGTCCTAATTTAGACATCAGATCAGTTGTGTTAATTTTCTTACTAACTGCTGAATTCAGCCTTAACTATGACCTTACTGCAAGTTTAAAAAGAATAAAGGCTGTGTTGTTGGGGACTGTTCCTAGAACAGATCCACAAAACTATTCTCCCCCAATCCTGTGAGTTCATGTATAATTCT